GCTTGCAATTCTAGTTTTTATATGTTTAGATGTTCTTCTCAGCAGAAAGACGTCACCTGCTGGACATAGGCCTCCCCCAAATTTCCCCACAACACCCGGTCCTGTGCTGCCCGTATCCATCGCCTTCCCGCAGTGTCATATGGCTACTCATTCTGTACATGCTATGTTTTATTTTCAATATTTACTTTTTGTTTTTTACCAATTTATAACAATTCTGACTAATAATATAATGCTCTTTTAGTGAGAGCTAAATGTATAATAAGTACTTAAAAAAGATTGTCTGGACTTTAAAAGAGACGATAATTTCTGAGCTTGTTTCGTCCTTTCTTCCCAGGGTTACGCCAGTTAAGAAAGGCTGAACTCATCTGCTCTAAACAAGTTTGACTTGTAAGTGTTCTTGTAACTTACTTGCAGAATAAACGATTTCATTTAATTTCACTTACTATGAGATGCTCGTTTGTCCCCGATAGCGTAAAAGAATAAATGGCAGTGGAAAAAACTAAAACGGTTTTGAACTAAAAGGTAGTTTTTTTTTTGTATGAGTTAAAAAAGCTAAATCATTTTATCGTAATAATGCGTAGGGTGCAGATATTGGTAGAAAGTAAAGTGGTAAAATTATTTTATTATAAAATATCTTAAAAAGCACCCTACGCTATTTTACGATAAAATGTTTTTTTTTTATTATTTTCTACTTTTCAGATCGTCTAGTGACAATTAGCTTATTTTTGAGTTTTTTTTTTCGATTTTTTTAGTCATTAAAGACTATTATTTTCTCGTTAAGACTAAAAAAGCAAGTAATTAAGTCACATATACTCGTATGCTTCAGTACACGCCTCTTAGTACGTAGCAAAAGACACTACCATATTTAAGGTATGGAGAAAGCTGTTAATCCTGAAGATCCTCATGAGGATAATCGACCAAATTTGTCAAATTATTGTATTGTCATTTGTCCTTGATAAATATTCGAAGTTTCAATTTAATTCGACGTCTTGTATTGGGGCAAAATCGTGTTCGTACATTCCGTTACATACATCTATACCAAGCTAATCAAAGTGTGTTAAAAACTTACCTAACGATTTATTTTGTTAAAATTATTTCAGTTGAGTTACTGAGGACTAAGCAAATAATAACCATGATAACAGCACGAACAGAATTTCACTAAAGGCTTTATCCAATTAGACTAATTCAAATTTATAGTGTAACGAAGTAAATTCAGCCCAAATGTTAATTACAATTGTTTTCTCACAATTACACACGAATGAGGCCTGAATGAAAAGCCTTTGTTCCTGGAACATACGAGTATGGTTTTGAAGGCTCCAGATTTTAATACCATAGAGAATTTGTAATCTATACTAATATTCTAAAACTGAAGCTTTGTTATATTGAAAGCGTACATCTCAGGAACTATTGGTTCGAATTCTTCTTCTTCATTAAAAAAGAAAACTCACGTACTAGGAATATATTCTGTGTCGCCGGGGACTATGCAAACATACATGAAACAAGCACAAAGATCACCCAGATTCAGAACAACAATTTGTTGATCACAGAAAGTGTTGTCCCAAGTGGTGATCGAACCCACAACACTCAGCGCAGTATGAAGCGGCGACGTGACTGCTTAAACTACTACGCCATCTGTGATCGTGTGTTTAAAGATAAGTACAATAAAAAAAAGTCGAAAAACCTCTTTAATAGGAAGCCATAGAAAACAAAAGAAGAATGAAGCAGGCTTCATTTCATTAGAGTAATTGCTACCTTTTTTTTAACTTAAATAAAATTTGCGTTCTAGAATTTTCTGTTTAATTTTTAGGGTTTCGTACCTCAAAAGGTAAAAAAGGAACCCTTAGAAGATCACTTTCTTGTCCTGTGTTACTGTCCGTCTGTCCGTGTGTCACCACCGATTTTCTCAGGAACGGGTAGACCTAGCAAGTTGAAATTTATACAAGATACTGAGGTCTATAGTCCCTATTAGGTGTATAAAAATCAAGGTTCTGAGTCAACACGATAAAAAGATATGGGCAAAATTTCGTCAAATTTACGTAAAATCTGGGTAGGTACGGAACCCCTGACCGGTTTTTCTATCAGACCTTTATACATCAAATTAAAAATAAACAATATCAGCAGTACTAAATTATTTATTAAATTGTAACATTATTGTTACATCCAATCACAAATATAAATAACATCCACTCAGAAATTAATACAAACGGTCCACAAAGGACGAATACTAATAAAATACGTGACTTCTTGTAGTAGTAAATATTAAATATTTTTTTCCGACATCTGACACACAACGCCATGTAGTTTCAAACTAAGCAGAGCTTGTAATGTGAAATTTAGATGCCCCTTGCGGATCAGACACAGGTGATCCCCAAAACATCCTTTCCCAGTGATCACCTGCGTCAGTCGGTGTAAGAGGGTCCCGTGACGCCTCTCGAGCCAATCCTCCATAACGAGTCTTACCGCCGCGATGACGGCGTGCCCGGTGCTCAGTTGCCCGAGTCGTTCCCTCCACTCCCCTTTCTTTTTTTTTTTCCGTGCGGAAATCCCCTCGGATACCACCTGTCGGTGGCATGTCGGACTCGAACCGACTAAAACCGCACGCCGTCTGGGGTACTAATAGCCGGGGAACCAGGTATACCCTAGAAAGGAAGTCCCTGGCGCCCCGACATACCTCGGGTCATCTACAGACGAGTAGACGACCCCCCCCCCCCCCCCCCGTGTGGGAACCCCATGTTCCCTGTGCTCTCTGGAAGCGAGCGCGCTTCGCAACGCACTCGCCGCCACCCCGGCCTGCTTCTGCTAGGGTGACAGATGGCCTCACCTGTCACCCCCAGGCCTGCCCTCCACTCCCCTATGATGACCTGGCGGAGTTGGGATTTCCGGTCATTGATTTCTCGACACCGACCCAACTCCCGCGCCTCCTTGCGCCACTGATACAGAGCCGCAAGGGCTCTTGCCTCCAGGTCCCACGGTGTATGTTTGCCCCTATGTTATAATTAAAAAGGAAAAGAAAAACTTGAAATAAAGGTTAACGTATTCTATTAATCTTTTGATGGTTTATAGCCTATTAGTCTAGTAGTTAGTGACCCTGTAACAGTTATTTTTTAGTATATTTGTATTGCGTACGGACTTGTTAACAGCGACATCTATTGCCCCGCGTCGCATTTCGTGATTTATCCAAAGTAGTTTGTAGCTATAGTATTGATGTTCTTCGTCCGCCATCGGACCACTAGATGGCGTTGTTTTATAGGTAAGTCATTGAATTAATTTATCCTGACAAATTGTAGTGGTGTTAAAAGTGACCTGTTATGGTAGGAAGCGAGTTACTTTTGATTTAGTTCGTGTTAACCTAGATAATAATTTGAGTGACAGTTTGAAATGTTAAAGTAGGGATTCTCTCTGGAAACTTCACAAACCGAACTTATATAAGTCCGGCTTTCAGCCACGGGGGACACTCTGCTAATTCTTGTCTTCCGACCTTAAATAGTATTTTGTTTGTCTGGTAATTTCAATGTAGTAATTTTTTAGTAATGTTTTATTGTTCGAAGTACCCACGCAAGTGGTGAGTATATTCATAATTTTCTTGTACTTATTTGTCTCTGGAACCTGATCGATAATATGAGTGCTAATCCATTCGTAGGGTCCCAGATTTCGGGTCAAGACGGTCAGTCTCAGACGGCGTGCTTGTTCATTTGTGGCCTTCTGGTGCGAAATCAAGTTTCTTGGTACCCTCTGGCAAACTGGCAGCCACGCGGCTCACCAAACAAGCGGACAGCCGTACTCAAGGGTTACGTACTTCTCGTTAACTTTATTTATATCATTAGTGAACCTTCCTTTATACCTAATATAAATAGCCGACTCGGGCGGAAGGGGAAGTGACCTCCTGGATTGAAGACGAGGAGGCTCCGAGCAGCATCAGCTAGGCTCTGACGCGCGCCGCTGCGGTTTTTTTTTATATACCCACTATTTTTTATTGTAGCTGATTTTTTTTATTGAAATATACATGTATGTATGACTGAGGTGTAAGTTGTCTTTCTCTAAGGGGTCCCGTAGGTGTCCCACACGCACACACTTCTGTTTAATAAAAGGCGCCCTGAGGTAATCTTGTGAATCTCTCCACTGGGTCAGCCGGTGAGTAGTCCGCCTGATAAGAAAAGCAGCTACAACCCTGACTGCTAAACCAGAGGTCTTGGTTCAGACCAAATATTTGTGTGATGACCACGATCGTTTGTTCTGTGTCTGGGTGTAATTTATCCATGATATGTATGTATTTAGAAATATATAAGTATGTTTATCAGCAGTCTGGTTACAGTAGCACAGGCTCTGCCTAGTTTAGGATCAGACTTCCGTGTGTGAGATGTGTAAGGTATATATATATAAAAATAGTATTATTATGTGTTCAGGATGCTGGTGGGCTGCCTCGATTCTTTAGCGCATCGGGGATGTTTGCGGATGCACATCTAGACGTAGGTGTGCATCCCTGGTGAGCAGGGTTCGAGCCAGCGCTAACAGCATCCTACGCATGATATCGAGAAGGCTGGATTGTACGTATGTGAGTCGCTTCTGTGCTGTCTCAGCCGGGATAGCACAGCGGTGACATACTATACATTATAAAAATATTTGTAAAAAATTAATGGTGGTGTTCACGAATTAAAGAATGTTAATTAATTAAGAATCACGTAATATTTATAATAAAATTATATTTAATAGTTATACAGTTTCTAAATTTTTATTTGTTATTAATTTAATTAGCTCATTATCCCAGTATTTTATTTATCATTGCTTATTTTATACATAATAAATATATTTAATTATATTTTTTCAATTTAACTTTATTACCTTGATATTTTATGCTATACATTATAATGACGTTAAAGCAAACGTCTACCAAAAAGCGAAAACAACATCGTTCCGACCGGGGGTCCATAGACCCCTCACGCCGTTTCATTATGTAAACCTCACATCACTAAATCACACATTCATACACAGGTCTCCTTCCATCACTGTTGTTTATTAAAAAACCACTTAACCCCATTACTAAAATCTGCTATACTCGGTAATTCCGGTGATTGAAACGGCTCATGATCTGGTGGTTCATAACTGTATCCCACAGTATTGTACTCCTGAGGAGGTCCATACATGATTTGAGGAGAACTCGGTGGTTGTTGTGGGCCCTGGTTCTTCAAGAAATAGTTGAGCAAAATACCACCGATGTAGAACAACTTTTGGAAGAATGCCACAAAGAAGAAGAAGGACGCCAGTTTTGCGACTGTAACTTTCGCCAGCACTACCAAGGCAGCTATGACTGAAACAAAAAGAAAAGCAACTGATGATTCCTTAATACACTTCATCATTATCATTCCTCCTTCCAATTTATCTTGTCGCGGGTGACTTTACAAACATACATGAAACGGTCACAAAGAACACCCAGACTCAGAACAACAATTTGTGGATCGCACAAAGTGTTGTCCCATGGTGGGAGCGGACCCGCAACACTCAGCATAGTAGGAAGCGGCGAGGAAACTGCTTAAACCACTTCGCCATCCGTGCGTGCGTTTCATTTGGAGTAATATATTTCATTGCAAAAGGTTTTGGCTAATTCCTTTTATGACCGACCTTTGCTTGGCGCCAACTATTACCAAAACTAGGGAATATAATCGTTTCCAGACATAATAAGGAAGAAGGCCGTTAGGGCAAGGAACCTAAGGCAAAGGATATTGAAAGTCTTGGGACTAAAATGGTTTCGTAACTCCATCTTATGATTGAAAAGGCCACTGGGATTAGGGCACCAAATGGTCACCATTCCGTAATACACTAATAGGAATAATTAATATCAGTCCTCAATCCGAATGCGTAGTTTCTGCAATGCTTGTTTCTTCTGAGTTAGCGCGTTTGTAAATTTCATTATTTTTTTTATAATTAAGTCTTTATCATCCATACTTATATTCTAAATGTAAAAGTGAGTTTTTTTATTTCCTTGTTTATTACGCTTCCACGCCTAAACCACTTAACCGATTTTAAAAATTCTTTCACCAATGGATAGCTATATTACTAGCGAGTAACATAGGCTACTTTTTACCGATAGCCAAAACTAGTATTATATACATCTATGTGCAAACATTTTTCAAATACCTATGTATCAAATGCTAATGGATTTCGAATAATACTAGTAGTAATAATACTATGTAGTTTAAAAATACTGTCCTTCAATAAAATTTCCCTACGCAAAGTAAGGATTTTTTATTAGCCTATATATTTTTATCATACCAGTCTTTCTTATTTAGTGTTGTTAGTCTCGGACGCTGCCAGACGCCAATCTGCTTACCCGTCATTACTATGCTTGATATCTTTTTTACTAACATAATATAAATCGGTACATTGGACATGATTTATTCCTTCGATTTTTTTCTGATTTTGTTGACCCAATATGAACCTATTACCACCATCACAAGCGTAACTATCGTTTTATGCTAGTGATAATGTTTTAAAAACATTAGAAAAGAGTCGTTGTAGACTATTGTTGGAACGAAGTTCCTTATCGCGCGTTGTGAAAGGGGGCTAGACGGAAAAAAATCTCACGAAAAGTTGTAACGACACTTTTTATTTTGAATTGTCACTTGTCAGTCATTCAGCGCCATCTATCGAATAGATAGGAAATCATTACTTTTCATCTCAGTAAAATTAAAATTTATGTTCTTATGAGCAAAAAAATATTGTATTCGACATCATTTTTCAACGAGATTTTACCAATGTATAAATTGTTTTAATTAGAAACTAACTGAAAAATATGTAGGTAATAGCCGCTTTCATAGATGGCGTTGTAATTAAAATCGTGTCGAATCAGTTTTACTCGATCGTCACAACTTCGTTCCTATCGGGTGTCCCACGACACCACACGGCTTTTAAATTTTTTAAATATGTATGTACTAGCAATCCGCCCCGGTTTTGTACAGAGCATAATTATGTGTACCGATTTTTTCTGTCGTAGGGTAGCTTTAGATTATTTCAACGAATTAGATTTATTTTTAGCTCCCAGACGACTTAACTTTTTCAATTTCAAGAAAAAATCTCAACAAATTATACACCTAACCCTAAATCAGTCTGTCTATTGGTGAAACCTCATCAAAATCCGTTCAGTAGTTCTTTAATTGACGACACAAACGACGGGGGGCTTAGTTTTAAAATATATATAGATATAGGCGAAACGAATTAACGTTTTGTTAGACGACTCTAAACATATATTTACTTATTTATTTTCGGTTTCGTTAAGAAAGAACATAGATTAATTTTCCGAACAAATTCCTTAATAAATTAAAAGGGTCTTCGGGTGAGTTCTGTCTGATGATTTAGTTGTATCTTCATCAATAGTATCAACTGTACATACATATATTTACTTTTCCCCTAATTTATCCTTACAATAAAATGTGTAAGTGCCAAAAGTCCTAAAAGAAAACTGTACTAAGCGGATACTTAATAAACTACATCCGATCCATAGTTTTCCCAATTCCCGAAGTATAGTACAAAACAATACTTCATCACTTTAAGGGAATTTCATCCTCAAAGCTCTTAGCTTAGGGTTGTTATTTCTTAATGTTGCGTAAGAAAAGTATCTCAATAAATAGAGGAGACGAAATACCTAGGGTTGTGTGGTTAATTTCCATTAGTTCAATAAACGAGCCGTGTGTAGTAATGTTATTTCTGGATTAACTTAAGTTAATCTTACTTAACACCAATAAGTGTTTTGTTATTGGCAGTCTGAGGCTAATGCTCCTTGTCTAGATGCTGGGAATTGCTAGACAGAGAAGACTGCTAGCGGATTATTCAATGAACAGTCGGTTTGAATAATTTATTTTGGGTTTAACTAAAAGTTCGTTTTATTTATATCTTTATTATATACAAATATATAGACGTCACAATCGGCGGACTTATCGCTCCTAGCGATTTCTTACAAACAACTGGTAAATTTTTTTTAGTAATAAATTATCATTTAGCTGACTCTACCACCATTTGGGATGAACAGCTTTGAAGAGAGGGAGACAAGTCTCTTATTAAATTGGTTCTGCTTTCCAATAAATTCTTTCAAAATATATATTTTTTTGTGCGTATGTAACTTGATGTCTTTCTCAATTGTGAACCAATAACCATTCGTTTTTTATCACACTGCGCCACAAATAGGGTTATGTTTTTCGAGTTTAAGCATGTATGTAAATATACATATATTTATTTTGTTCGCTTTGTAGCTTAACTATAGAAAGGTATTCGGTGAAAATATAGTAATGAACATAATATAGTTTAAATGGAATATATGGCATAGACACAGTACTACAGTCTTAAAAAGTTGAGAATGCGAGCCAGTTTCGAGTAAGGGAGAGGCCCTTACTCGAAACTGGGTTTTCCCGAAACCACACGTGAGTCTTTTTTGAAGTATATCTTTAGAATCGTTGTGATTTGAAACTCGATGGAACGAAAATGCGTCACGATAACGAAACAAACACATAAATGTATAGGATTAAGTCGGCGAGAGAATGAGATAAAATACACAACTCATTATTTTTAATACAATATTTAGACAGTGTGAATATTTTTATTTAATACTAGCTGGTACCTGCGACTTTGTTCGCGTGGAATTTGAAAAACGCTGCCTTAGTGGGTTCGATTTTTGAGATAAAAAAAAAGAAAATGTTTTTTTCGCCAGTTTCATTTCTGCCCTGTGTAGATTGAAAAACACACTTATTTTTATTGCAATTACACTGCTTGAAGTAAACTACTATTAGGATTGCGACAACATTGTATAAACATTGATTTCCAAATTTAAATATAAAAAAAAGAACTTTCAAAACCAGCATCCTTACAGAAAAAAAAATAATGGACCAAACAAATTGCACAAAAATAATGGATATTTATTTTTAGAAATTATCTGATTTCTATACAATAAACCTATAATATTATTACCTATAATACTATTAATATTTTCTAGTAGTAGTATTTTCTTAAAGTGCTGCCAAGAATAATTTACAAATTAAAATGTTAAGTAATAATTTTCGAAAAACCTAATCGCTTAAGTGATGTTCGGATCATAAAGACGGATCTACTCATTTCTTTATTAATTTGCTATTGCAAGCTTCCTGTGAGTAAAGATTTTCCAGGAAGATTATTTTAGACAGTAAGTAATATTTTGTACTTTTGTTTATCGATCAAGCGTTTAATTTATTTGTTTGTTTATTTTCAAAACTTCAGAGTAATTACCTACACATTATTTTGTTTCTCACCTTCATATCTATATTTTTTGATAGAAATTAATCAACACAAAGGAAGGATCCTCCGACCAGGCAAGGTGATCATGCCTGGCGGTTTGCGGCCCAACGGTTGATGTTAGGAAGTTGTATATACACTAATCGGCGACAGAATTCTTCATATCGCGATATAGGATAAGCAATTCTCATTCAGTAGTTACGCTGTAGTTCGGTGTGTCTTCGTTAGATGGCGCTGTAGTATGTTTCTGTTTCTTAGTAAGTGGGAGTTGCCATATTACGTATGTATTATTAGTTTTTTAAACCAATTTATTGCAAACCAGCTGTACCCGTACAGCTGGTTTGCAATAAATAGGTTTAATAAGCCAGGCACATTGTGGCACATAAGAAATGAGAAATAGAAAGATAGATAATATCTTAATTAGGAGGTCAATCGGTGCAAAGCTTTTTGAGTTATTGAAGCTCATAACACTTTCAATATAAATAAATGTTAAATGTTTAAAGTTTCATCCTAGTCGGACACTCTTGTCAGAGTGGTCGTTGGTTGAGGCTCACTGTCGCAGCTCACTTTAAGGGCTGCTCCTTCCATTTCTGCCGGTTTTAGGCATTGCCATCACATTACTGCAGTCGATTCGGTTGAGGCTTTGGTTAACTATTTAAATATTCAAAGTTTACTAAACCAAAAAATCTTAGGGCAAATGTTCAACAAATTTTTAGAAAATCTTTATACAGGTGAAAGGACCAGGTCACACAATGGGAATCAAAATATCTCTTAAGGCTAAAGAGGTTTTATCTAAATTATGAGTTTGAGACAAACCTCAAGGCTTGACTTTAAAAGCAATAAAAGCAATGGGCGCTAATCATCTCAAGTAACTGAATTAGGTACTAGCAGAGGTGTAGCATGTGACGCAGGCATCTATTTCTGTATAACAGTTATCGCCGAGTTGAATTTCCAACATATATGATACACTTTTTTTCATTGTCCACTATAATTAGCCACTTAAACTCATATTGTTGTCTAGAATGATATTCTGTATTCAACTTCATAAATTAATTACTTAATTAATAAATTATGATAACCTAAATGTACTTAAGAGATATTCGTTTTTTCTTATTATGGCTGTATAATTTCTAATTTTATATTCTGCTGACCATAATAATATCCATTAAGTGTTTGTCGCAAAAGGCTCACTTAATTTTCTGGGGTATAAAAACACTCTATTCAAATTAAATACTTACCCAAAAGCCTCAAGCCTCCCTTCTTTTTCTTCGCCCTCGCCTCTTCAGGTAACTGCTCGTTATTATCCAAACAATAACAACACACTAATAACGTTAAAATAACCATTACTTTCTTCAACATTTTTAATCTGTGCTATGCAAAACAATTGATTGAATCTTATATTTTTAAGCTATGAGAAAAGCGCGCGTTTTTGTTGACACTTTAAAAACAATATGGCGCAACAATGTTGTTTTGTTTTGTTAAAACCACGGCTGATACTAAACACTACTGGAGTTTTGAACTTTTGCAGGTTTTATGTAAGTATAATATTTTCCTTGCTAACGAACTGTGTTTCTCGCGTTCCTCTGAATATATAAGTATCGGTTAGCTTCGTAGCATCAGTAAATTCTTTCCTAGAAGAAAGTTCGTTCATTGTTTTCGTAAGTTAAAGGAAACCATGTCGAGTTTTCCTTTTGCTGTGACTAATTTAAGTGTTAGAAAATAATTATTGTGTTCTTTTGTGTTACGTTCGAGTGTGTTTAAATTTTTACGCTTATTTGAAAAAATTTCACCAACATTTACATTTCAATAGTTCGTATTGAATATTTTAAATTGTCGTCAACTAAACTTGCGTGTTATGCTTTTAGGCTTGGGTTTTGGTAACCTCAAACGCCTTGTTGAGTGTGGGTGTAGTTTATCTATAATATGTATATATCCATACTAATCATATAAATGTGAAAGTATCTGTCTGTATGTCTGTGTGTCTGTCTGTTACCTCTTCACGCTTGAACCGCTGAACCGATTTAGATGAAATTTTGTATATAGATAGTCCGAGTCCCTTGAAAGGACATAGGGTTTTTATCCCAAAAATCATATTATAATGGAGTGGAAGTTTGTACGGGGAATCAAGAACCGCTGCTCCGATTAAGATGAAATTTGACATGGAGATACTTTGATTCTTAAGGAAAAAATTGGATACCTTTTACCGCGATAACCGACATTTACATTTAAAAATATATGCTTGCAATCTATTACGTAAGTCGGACTAAAGATATATTCAAAATGTATGAACATTAACACGCCTCTTTCCTAATACGCCCTTCGGGGATTAAGTAGTTTGAGTTTGGATAGTGGCAGCGTTAAATGTGTGCTTTGATGTTGGTAAAGTGTAATTATTTGGTAAGTCATCTTTAAACAAATATTGCTAGTTTTGGCTTAATTGATTTAGGAATAATACTGTTTTGCTAGATTAATTTGTCTGTCTTTGACAATGTTTTAAATGCAAAATTTCAAGATAGTAGATTAGCTAGTTAGAGCATGAAAACGTAGCAAATAAACCAACTTAGTTTCACATTTATAATATTACATAGAGTTGTAATAAGAACGAGGATTATACTCAAAGATTTGAGCTCCATATAAGTGTATTAAGTTTCCTTCTCATGAAGTTTTCAAGCATGCACGCACTTTTGAAATGAAACTATGACCCTAAAGTTTTTCGATAATTATGTTCTCCTTCTAAACGGATTTTCCGATAGCATTTTAAAGTACCAAAAAACTACCGAAAGCTGTTTAGAATGTTACTGAAATAAAAAGAGTTAAAGTATGAAATTGCCGTTGTATAGTAATAGATACTTTGAATTGACATAAAACCTTCATGGTGTGAGATTTTCGTGTGAAACTTTTTTAACATGATACCTATGGTTCTTCTTTTAAAAAATGTGCAATATTTGATTTTCGAGTTTTAATTGTTTTTTTTTTTGTATGCAGCTTAGACGTGAAAGATGGATACTTTTAAAATCCGAGTCATTTTTTAATATGAGTTCCGATGCGGAACTAACTTGGCAGAGACCGCTCGCAATATCAGCGCTGCGTTTGGAGATGAACTGCTGCTAACGCACCATGCGTTTTTGGTTTAAACGCTTTCGTAATAGAAACCTCGACTTAAAGAACGAACCACGTAGAAGACTGCCCACACAGGTGAATAACGTTGAATTGAAGGAAATGGCGGAAGCCGATCCGAGTCGAACTACCCAGGAATTAGCGGCATGGTTTAACGTTACTCTACCTAAAATATTGACTCATTTGCATCTAATCATTAACATAAAAAAAATATTAAAAATGGGTGTCTCATGATTTGACTGATCTACAGAAAGAAATGCAGGCAATAACAGCAGATGTTTACTGTGCCAAACTTCGAAAAATTACGCTGAAACTGGCAGTGAAACAGCCCCAACTCGTGAATCGATCTTCACCATTATTGCTCATGATAACACAAGACCTCACACTGAACGAGAAACCGTTGTAACTCTACAGGAGCTGCAGTTAGAAACCATACGTCATCCTCCGTACCAAGAACTACCATTTGTTTCATGATTTAAACAATTTTATTTACTTATTTTTTATTTTAATACTTTATGCACAAGTGTGGGTTGTACAATGGCGGACTTAATGCTACAGACATTTTCTCCCAGTCTACCTTAGGGTGGTGCTGAAATGTGTGATTAGGTGCACTAGATATTGATATGTAAAGTAAAAGAAAATTATTGAGAAGTTAGACAGAAACAATGAGATAAATAAAGATACACAAACGTATCAAATACACATACATAATAACTTACCTAGTTACATACATACATAAATCTATATATTGATAATATATAAAACTTTAAGGTTGTAATGAATCTGCTAGGGTATCCAGAATGCAAGCTCGAACTTTCATCTTGAATGAGAGGCGACTGTGTGCGATCCTGATCCTGATCCAGAGGAGCACGGATTTGATTAGGAACGAGGAGTTGACACAAGTGGAAGTATGCGTGGAGCATAGCAGAAGAGGATTGTTTGATGAACGGAGGGATCTGTCATAGTGGGAACACAAATATTGGAAATAAGAATAATATAGAGGAATAGAATAGAGGGTGGTGAGGGCGCGCAGCTGACGACGCCGACGAAATGTTTCGACATTTAAATAATATTTATGGATAGGATCTCAGACGGCAAGAAAGACAAGCCTACAGTCTGCCATAAAACCATAGCGATTAACAAAATATAATTCATCTACAATAATTTAATAGATCCTGCAAATTATTACGAAAGCCTTCCAGTTCTCATGCAATTACACATCAAAGAAACTTGCTGAAACTTTCTTAACGCACAGTGGCTACTAAAATAAACCCAAAAGGGGGAGGAAGAGAAAGGGGAAGGTTGAAAAAAGGTCTTTAAGTATTTTACGTTAGAATAAATGTGATCAAAGCAACCGATGGCTCTGTATTTAATAAAGCTTTAAGTCGAAGGTGTAATAAATATTGGATGGTATGGTTGGTTTTTTTTATGTAAGAGGGGTCAGACGATCAGACGGGTCACCAGATAGAAAGTGACCATCGCCGCCCATGAACGTCTGCAACTCAGGAGTGACAAACGCGTTGCCGGCCTTTTAGGAAGGAGTACGCTCTTTTCTTGAAGGTTTGAAGGTCATATCGGTCCGGAAATACCGCAGATAATAACCCGTTCCACAGATTGGTAGTGCGGGGCCAATTGTCTCGAAAAGCGAACAGTAGTGGAGCGCCAACTATCCAGGTAATGAGGATGAAAAATTTTGCCGTGTGGAACGATGGCCGAAAGTAGTTTAAAAGTGCTTTGTCCCCCTTTAATGCTTTTTAAAGATTTTTACATTAGTTTCTTTTCTTACTGTTTAAGAACTCTGTAGGTACTAGGTGTATTTTTTTAAACAGATTATATAAATTGGGTAATAATCATTAACATACTAGAGAACTATGCCCTGTTTTGTATAAGTTTGATAAAAGCAATAGTAATGTGGATTCCATCATTCCCTCCAGCAAAGCTACAATACGTCAGTAGTGCACCCGGTGGGGTTGGATCCCAACAACGATTTCTTACCTACAACCATCGATTTATTAACTAGCTAACCTAATTCCCTGGCCGTTACAATAAACTTCTTCTTTTCAATGATTAAAATAGATTTTTCTATAAATACATAATTTTTATTTACCCTGTGTATCATCATCATCAACAGCCTTTAATGGTCCACTGCTGGACATAGGCCTCTCCTTAGAAAGGAGTTTTTGACAAATACAAATACTCAATTACACCGACTGAAAATCAACTGTAAATAATATTCCATTTCGTTAAAAATAATTTGCTATTCGTAATGCAACTCCAACGTTAAGCGAAGCGATATAACTGCAAGCGAGGCTAATAGAGAGCATAAATTATGGAAAGGTACCGTGTAGAGATGGGAGCGGAGTCCCGGGACTGATGTATTTCCGGGACGATTTTTATGGACTTCTGTTTGTGAATTAAGTATGTATGCATGTAACATAAGACTATTGTAAGAAATGATCGAATTCAGGGCATTGTTAGCATTCACATAAAAAAGGTTTTTTTCAATTATCTTTCAAAGCAAATCAACAAGCCTATTGCAATTCACTGCAAGACAAAAGTTTCCCACACTACCTTAGGCAAGTCGTTGATTGATAGTTTACCTACACCAACCGAAGGAATGGAACTTCATGTTGAACTTTCATGTTGAAAAGCTAGTTCGAAATAATTTTAGTTATGTTGTGACTATCAGTAACATGCAATGATGATCCTAATCTAGATAGTAATCATACGAACAATATGAAACAATTCCGGCGTGTCACATCACTAATGTCAAGCGCAAAGCTTCTAGATTTTATTCAATTGCACCTTGTTCCGAGCTCATTCCGAAACGCGTTTAATGCGAAACTCCGTGATTTCCACTTAAGGACTTTAAAGTGTAATATTTCAACAATTTTACGAGATTTTTTTATGTTTTATTTTATTATATTTTATTCGATGTTTAAAAATATGTTTGTTATTTGCTTAGGTCGGCCATGTTGTTTTTTGCAAGTGGTAACTCCTACTGGGAGTACGGAAGATATTATTTTCCTTCCTTGTACTATTCAAAATATACTATTAAATAAATATATCTTCAATAGCAGTTAGTAAATAACGTCACGAATATAACGATGAAAGAGCTGTATATCTCATATTTAATTAAATGTGTACTAGTTTTTTGCCGCTCGAGAACTTATATTTTCCACTGCAAGTATATCGGTTTGGGGGATATGGAATGGGGATCTCAAAGGTCAAGAAGATCAGCC